ATTAGTGTCGGTGAATAATGCAGCTTTCGCTGCACATGTGGATGACCCTGACGACTGCGTGAAGGCGAGTCATTTTCGCTAACTTCAACGGAGATTGACTCTAGAACTCCGTCGCATCAAGGTTCCATTGTGAACGCAGAAGGCGATGCAGATAGTCTGCAATTCCGAGCGCCGCCATCCTAAGGAATACTTTCTCTATGAAGGCGGCGTATGGAAACACATTGCCACCGCTAAGGACGATGTTCGATCCTATTTCAACGGTTGCCTGTATATAACCTGTAGACATAATGCAGATCTGACATAGCAACTTCGACTGTGCCTTGAACAAGCGTCCAGGGATGGACTGGCCTCACTTGAGCGGCCTAAAACAGCACGAAGTGAGAGTGAGTTTGGCTGACACATCGACACCGAATGAGACATAAGGAGCAATTGCTCAACTGCGTAACGTCATGTGTGCTTGTGCTGAAGGGATCCAGCTTGTAGAATTGTAGCACGGTAGACCGTCGTTGGTGAATATGCTGAGACATCTGGTCCAACACGTGTTGATTGGGGAGGTGGTGCCGGCTAACTTGAAGGATGCCCTTGTGCTGCCACTATAAAAGGGTAAAGGAAGCATGCAATGTTACATTCATTCCCGTGGCATCAATTTGCTAAATTATGTGGGTAAAGTGATCGCTCGAACCCTGCTCAACCGCTTCATCGGTCAGGTAGTGGAATTAAACGTGGCGGAAAAACATGTTGCATATCATTCCGGCCGCAGCATTAAAGATATGGTGTTCGCAGCTCATCAGTTGCCGCAGAAATGCTGAAAGCAACACCAGCTATTTTATTTGCTGTTTGTGGACTTCACAAAGTCATTTGTTACAGTGAACTGCGGGGCATTGTGGCTGGTGTTGGGTAAGTTTGGTTATCCGGATCAGTTTGTATGCTTAAGTGAATGTCTGAAAAGTCGTATGCGGGCGACCGGGCAGCTGATTGGACAAACATCGGATGATACTGCTGTTTTCTCTTCTGTGAAGCATGACGGTGTTTTAGCCGCTGCTCAGTTTAATACTTAGCTCCATATAATGATATCTAGTGCTTTTGATGCTGCTTGTGATTACGGTCTCCGTATGGAATATCTTCTCGATGGTGGGGCGCTAAACACCGGTCGTTTCGGTGCGAGAACGCTAGTCTGTGAGACAACCATCCGTATGTTGATCCTTGCCGACGACTGTGCGCTGCTGACGCCTAACGCGGATGCGTTGCAGCACATGACTTTGGTTATCGTTTCGTCAGCAGCCAAATTCGGATCAACGCAAGCAAGACTATTTTCTTTTAGAGCGGTCAACCAAAGTGGGATCCATAGGCCCGCTCCAAATCCAGGTTGCCGCTGACGTGTTGGAAACAGCACCGAAATTTTGTTACCTTGGGAACATAACATCAGCGGACCTGCAGATGACGAGTGCGCTTCGCATCTGCGTGTCGAACTCAACTGCTGAGTTTGGAAAGTGGAGAAACGTGTGCGGATCAACCAGCAGCTTACCGTTGGAACCAAGATGATGATATGGAATTCGATGATACTGTCCATTCTTCTTTTGGGTAGAGACACGCGGACGATGTACCGGAAAGACATTTGATATATGGAGCAGTTTCATCAGCTGTGCTTCAAACGGCTTCTTCGCATCGACTACTGCGACAGTGTTGCAGACACGGAAGTGCTACACCGCAGTGGCAGGTACGCAGTGGACTGCATACTTCTGCTGCGGCCCCTGTGATGGCTGGGGCTTATCCGCCGCGTGGATTGGACGCGGACACCCACGCTTAGCTAGACCAGTTTGTGAGCGTTGGAATACCGGTTACGTTGTCTAGACCTGATCAACGTCAGCTTATCACGAACCGATTTTGTTTTTGTGCTGGGAATAAAATGCAGTGATCATTGCGAATGCCGTTAGCTGATGAAGTGTGTGGTCACCCAGGTGCATGTTAAATCACTCCTGCCTGCAGTAAAGTAACATCGGCTACGTAAACGTGAGGTGCCAATGGATTACATTTTATCGACGTCGAGCGCATGGTGCTGTATTACATGCGGTCGCAAATGCGAATGATCCAAATTGGCCTCGTATGCCACCAGCGCCGCCAAGACGAATCAGCTGATTATCTCGTCGACATCAACGTAGCGATTAGTAAGTGCGTTACGTAAGCTTCCGTTCGATTTACTAAACCATGCAGGTTAGGCGGCTGAGGGGTTAGTGTGCTACACTATGGTTGTATTTGGTCTAAACGTGTGCCTGTGTTTTGAATTTCTTGTAAATCAGGTATTGGTTGTTGCTTGATTTCCTTGGTGCAGCTGCACTTGATATATATGTTGACAAGATTCCTACTTGTCCAACGCCCTCCACCCTGTCTATGCTGGTTCCAGGAGACAGCTGGTCCTTGTTAGAGGGGACGGGATGCACGGTCCTCGTGGCCGTGCTGGGCCCAAATAGTGGTACTATGCATCCGGGGTATAACGGGCAACCGTCCAGCCACCGCTTTGTGTAGGTCTTGTACATATGACTCCCAAGTTTTACCGACTGGAGTGCTGCTTTGTGCAAAGTGTAGGAGTGTGCGCCAGCCTGGTATCCAGAACGAATTGTAATAAATAGTATGGGTTTAGTAAGCAGCATATAGCTGCAGGACACTTCAGAGAATGTTACGAGTATAGTCGGACGGATCAAAATATCCGTCTGCGGAAAATCCACGTGATGTGCCAAGTATGGCAATGTAACAGCATCACGCAATTGTGATACACGTGGACATTTGTGCTGACTTATCTGGTCGTACTAGGAGAAGAGGTACGATCAATCGTCTGGTCGCCGAACTGTAGTCGAGTATTAGCGGACAAATCAGCGGATTGTGAGAAACAGTGTCAACATGACTAAATAGAATATCTCCTTACAGACGCTCTTCATTAGTGATATAGTTACACTTAACATCACTAAGTATCTTATCTTTGCCATGCAGAGGACTTTCTATGTTGCTAAAGTTATCATCATCAACCCAGAACTCAGGGTACGGGTACAGATATTGAGTGAAACAGTCCATTATTATTTTCTTTGTGTAGGTGGCACACGTTATGTAGGTAGAACCAGTAAGGTGCCTAGCACTGGAATGAAAACGTGCCACTGTGGGTCCTCTTCGAGGCTATTCAGTAAGTATGCGTGCACATGGCCGCAGTATCGGGGGTCTAGTGTTCACTTCAGGTCTAGAATCTGTCATCTGAAGTGCCTTCGCATAGACTTTGTCAACTCAGGGTGAACTATAGGTGTGGAACTATAACAATTTCGTCATAAGGTTTGTTGAAGTGAAAGTAACCTATGTGATTACTGGCACCTGGGGAATGGGATGGTTAAGTAGCAAATTCTGGTAGCGAGTCGGAATATCAGAGGTAAAGTAGCCTTAGTACGTTCGCGGCATCTTTTGCACCTTGAGTACATCCAGTTACTCAGAGGAGTAAGTGAGCACTACGCTTCCCATTCCTCAGACTGTTTACATGTTTGTACAGAAGCTTGTTGCTCGCACAAAATCTTTCCTCTAGGCTTTGCTGGTGTAACGATTTCTTCTCACGTACAAGTATGGCGTAGTGGTTCTGCTGCATTAAGTATGTGCTCCAGTAATCAGAACCAGGGTTTGTTCTGTAAACCAAAGAAGCTGCGCCTCTTATTGCAAGGCGTTTTCCGGTTCTGATTCCGATGCACTTGGACGATTTTGTTGAACGAGGAGTTCTGGTGTCCGACGCTGTGATCCGATCACGGAACAACCCGACACATTCCATCTAGCCATTACCAATGGGACAATCATCTGAAAAGTCCCAGATGGCTTCGCCAACGAGTTTTGTTAGTATGTCGTAATGTGTGATCGTCCGAAACAAGTCCATATGTTGTCATGGATATCGCGCATAACGGACATTCGTAAAGCACTTTGACGTTATCCAGCCTCTCCAGATTGCTCTCTATCGTTGACTTATTGAGCATGGGCCATTTGTACGTGAGCATTAAATCATGCACGGATGCTTTATTTCCCGCTCTGAATATAGTGGGGAAATGACCTGGCTAGGGCACTTAAACTACTAGAGGAGAGTAGATGAATTCCTAACTGCTCGCAACCCGCCCCCATTACGATTATTACACTGTTCGTCTTTTGGAGATATTTGGCAGAAAGCGTTATTGTAGCCCAATGATACAGCCGTTTTCAGCTTGTATTACAAAACTACAGGATGTACTGTGATTCACCAAGTGATGAGAGGTGCACTGACCTCACAGAACACATGGTCGTGAATATGAGTTTTTTTTAGAACATTTGAAGACGCATACTCACGTGCTGCAGACAGTTGAATTGTTAGGGTGACAACAACTGGAAAAGGGCGAGTTATGCTTGTTTCTACTCAAAGCTTCTCTTTCACTGTGGTCCCATACTTGGTTCACAATAAGAAAACGGCAATAAAATTTTGAGCTGTGGAACTTAGAAAAGCAATACGCGCACCACTTTTTACGGATCTGGTGCGAAGACCCATGTGTTGACACGCATTTTGACTCACCTTTATCATGGAAGAGAATACGTTGGTCGTGTGTTTATTTTTGGTTTTATTTTTGTTCGGATGAACCGGGTTTCAAATATTGCCACTTTGATTCATTAAAAAGATATTATGGCAAATAGGCGCCAATCATTTTTAAGAATGGCTAACGAAATAATTTCTGGAAGTTTTTACACCCGCCCTAGGAAGTATGTCAAATGACTCCTAGTAGCCATTTTGACAACGCAGCGACATCATTTACTGTAATTGTGAGATTATGTTAGGTTGTGTCCAGCCATTATGAGCTAGCTAATACTTCTTAAATGTATCGAAGAAGACAACTATCGTAACCCAAAATTTTCACCTATCCCCGACGGAAACGTGTCGTTGTCCGTGAAATTTCATGAATATGCTTACACTTTTATATACTTGAACGAAAGTTTATATCTTTCCTTTACACATAAAGGTATACCAACTTCAGTAACTTTCAAAAAATACCACCTACTTCATCATCGCTACCAAGGGGATGTCGAACTGGATATGGATATCCCAACGAAACTGGAAGCTAGATTGTTCTGTACAAGAATGACCAAGTTAATTTGGCTTCTACTACAGCCGTGTACATATAGTATCCGGCCATTGTTTGGTCTACCTATGTCTATAACATTATGGGAAGTGAGTTTGCACTGTGATGATAACTCATCTATACTTCACCAATTGAGCTCATTTACCGTGAATGTTTAGGCTGCAGATATGGTGGATCAAGTCATACATTCATTAAGATATTGCAAAATCAGTTACAACAGATGTCGTCTGGATATTGCATCTTGGATGCACCTGCCTATGAGAAAAGCTGAGTTATCTGTGGAAATGCGTATCTAAAGCTACAGATGAAAGAATCGATGATTTAGGCTTAATGTACCTGCATCAAAGTCAACCAAGGCTTTAGGCCGGAAAGTTTGCAAGTCACCTACCTTGGGCGGGTTAAGCCTATTTTAAATTAACTGAAATGTAAAACATTTAAACGATGGGTTTGAGTTTCTCGCCTTTATCGTTTGACAGTATTCCAGCGTTTGTGTAGTATCTAGACTGGAGTTAGAAAAGCTTACATACATTAGGATCTCGTGGTTTTGTTCTCCTATCCGAACCCACGCTGAACCTCAGCAGCTTGAATGGACATGAGGGACATTAACTTGTTGACATATTTTCTGATGGTTGCGACTTGTGCATCACAAAGCTCAGATGGGTTATGTTTGTCATTAGTGTGCCTTTACCAGACTAGAGTTAGTAAAACGGTAGGCGTTATTCTTGGTACTGGTACGGGTTGAATCTTATAGACGTGCATGCCATTGCTAACATAACGCGGCGTGTAAAAGCTTTACCCAATGCCCAGAAAGCGGCGAACCAACGTGCCCACTAATAGTTTTTCAACCTAAAACCCTCAATTAAATTTACAGCAGTCTAAAAACAAGTAAAATGTTTTGCCACATGCTTTTACCGAGTGAATGAATTGTGGGCAGGTATATGACAGTAATGTATTCAAGCAGATCACCTAGTAAAATTTGGTCACACTGTGCCACGCATTATCGTGGCTTATACGCTTTATGTGTTACCAAAATAGCCATGTGCGTAAACTAATATTCACCAAATATTAAGCAACTTTTTGAAAGTACTTTCTCATCATTAACCATAGTTTCACACAAAATCACTTGTAACTGATTCACGCTTTCCGTTGCCTTTTTCAGCTTATCAACGCATTTTTCTGTCTAACTTTTGACTACCTTGTGGTGGCCCTGTGGGGATGGAAACCACTGATTTATCTTTTTGCTGGTACGCTACTAACAATGGGTGCACATCCTGTGGCCGGTCACTTTATCTCTGAGCATTTTCTGCTCGACAAAGAGCATGAAACGTATTCATACTACGGCATTCTGAATTGGGTCACATTCAACGTTGGGTATCACGTGGAACATCATGATTTTCCATATATTCCTGGATCTCGACTGCCAATGGTTAGTTTGTTTGCATTTGAGGGTGAACGCTACTCATCAATAACTAAAGTACATAGAAATCTTTGGCCAACTAACATGTATATGTCGTAGGAGAGAGGTTTATTTTTTGCCAGGAAAAAGAGAACGACCTAAAGAAAAGGAGAATAAAAGATATTCCTGTTCATTAGCATAATGATTAAACGTCCCTTTGGAAATTAAAAGGTTACCGTAACTGCAAACTTGACGCAACAAACGCCTGGTTTACTGTCTGCGAATTTCGATATATTACCAAAAGTTTGAACGTCTTAGAAACTGTGTCTGCGTAACAGCATTCCACACTACATCACATATTTTCTGTTGCTCCGAAGTCTCCGCATCATATGATTCGTCAACACCATATTCCAGTTAAAATAAGCCACAACTAGAGATAAATTCCAGAGCCATTTCCAAAAGTATGCCTAATGTTTCGAGTTAAATCGTTTGCAGGTTTTACGGAACTCGCACTTTGCTTATTATCCAACTTTTAATGGATATACACTCAACCGAAACTTTATATAGTAGCCTGCATTGTATTCCCTATTTTTGCATAATTTTGGCATTAGTGTGCAACTTTGGTTTGATAGTCCCTTGTGATAGGTAGCTAGTTAAATAAATTTTACACGGAAGATATTAATGACCAAACTGACGTAGCTGATCCAAGCTCAAACTGACAACGAGATAAAAGGTCTCAACTTAGAATTTTCTAAGGTATGCATGAACTATACTGATAATAGTTGCTCGAATCATCTATTCTACACAGAATGTTCGCGCCATTTAGTTGCACAACAAAATTTGGCCTGGTTTTATGCATGAGATATATATATTATTCTATAAGGCCACGTGCTTCGACCACTAAATTTTATCCAACCGTAGTGAGGATTGATGGTTAACACAATCGCTTAGACTTTTGACGTCGTTTGTTGGAAACATTGCCTTACAAAAAGAAAACAAACTAGCGTACTTTTTAAATACTAATAATCATTTCTGCACAAGGAACAATTAATTTATAAGGGTTAAGAAAGGTTTGGTGCGCAAGTCCCGTTGGTAGGGATATCGACATAACAATAATGATAATAATGGGAGTAAAACAGTTAGTACTTTGAATATGAAAATAAGGACTTATCGTTTGTTCCGCCGTCGTCCTGCAGTCCGCTTAGCTTCACATTACCCGTAGTTAACATCAAATAATTCCATGGTAAACTCCAAGTGTGGGATGGAGATGTAGTGCTAAGTGACAAAGTGTAAGTGCATGAGTGCGTCACCCGACCGTCTTTTAAGTACTGTTAATGTCGGTGCAGAAACTACCGATTCTGGGAGAGCATTCCACGAGTGACAGAGACGAATGGAAAAGAAATTTCTGCTGCACTCCAGGCGGCTATACTGTACAGTGAGTTTCAATGAGTGACCGCTTAGGTTTGTATTGGAGCTGAGTCTCAGTAAAGGGCGACACACATGATGTGGGTCTCTCAGAATCAATTATGCCATAATCAGGTCGCCTCTTAGTCTGCGATAGCTTCCACTGAATACTCCCAAGCTTTACAGCCTCTCATGATATGATTGCGTATTCCTATTACCTTCTTAGATGTCCGACGTTTTGGCTGCTCCAGTGCATTAAGGTCTTGTTTCCGCCGTTCATGTCAGGCTTGCATTGTGTATTCGACATGGAGGCGAACATACGCACTGAGCATTTGTCGGAATATGGAGCTGTTTATTTGTCCGAACGTCAGTCACAACAGCTCGATGTGTTGGTTCCAAATCCTCGAGACCTTTTCCGGTTGCTTGAAACAACCCAATCAATCTTGCACCAGGACGCCCAAGTCACGTTCGAAAGATGGTTGTTTTAGTATGTTCGTTCCGAGCCGGTATGACTAGTTGCTCTGACGTCGGATGGAAAGCACCTAGCAATTACTGACGTTGGAATGCAGTAAGTTTTGGGTTGGCGATTGGTACACCGTATCTAGGTCACTCTGAATCAGATGCTGGTCGGCGTTTGCCTGGAAGCTGCGCCAAATCATGATATCTTCGGCAAACGTTTCCCTGTGCACAGTCATCAATAAACGCCAAAACAAACTGGACCTAGAACTGAGTATTGCCTCACACCACACTCGACTTGCAAGTGATCCGATAAGAGCTCCGAACTCTTACCAATAATTGACGCGGAAGTAGAAAGTTGGCCATCCAGCATAGAAGAGGGTCGCCGAAGCCGTAATACTGGAGCTTGGATAGTAGTATCCGATGGTCTAGACGATGGAAAGCCTTTGAAAAGTCCAGGTAAATCACATGAGTGTCGTCTTCAGCGTCAGCTGCCTCGGTCCAACCACTGCGTGCGATTAGTAAATTCATTGTACATGACCGTTGTCGACGGAAACCATGTTGCTCACAGCACGCCGGTGCATCAGCAACTATGGATTCAATGACCTTGGAGAGTATAGGAAGAAGGGATCTTGGACGGTAGTTGGAGTGATCAGTTCTGCTTCCACGTTTGTGAATCGGGGTTATTATTCCAACCTTCCACTTAGCGGGAACTTGATTTTGGTCTGAACATTTCTGGGAAAACGGACCTAAATTTCCTGCCAGTTGGGTATGCTGCTGCTTCCAATGCCTCTGAAAGAACGGTGTCGACACCCGGCGAGCTGTGTTTGAGTAGAGACGTCAACTTTTGCAATACAGCCTCCGCGGTAAGAGTGATATGGGTTAGTCCTGGTGAGGAGACGACAAAGGCTGGTAGATCGCTTGGGGGCAACACCCTTTGGAAGGTGGGGCATATCGCATCCACATCGCGTTTGCTACATCCACAGCCGTTCTTGTTGAGCCATCAGCCATCCTGAGTGAAGGAAATCTTCGCCTCACCTCCCGTAGGCTACTTAAGTGCTTGTACAGTAGTTTGTGATTAGTAATGAAGGTTCTGCGATGTCTTGCTGATAGGCGGCTTTGTCTCCTTTTAGCAGTTGAGTGCAGTAGTAACGCTGGGCTAGGTAGTTGTCCCAAGTTTCTAGTGCTGTAGCTTCTCTGTACACTCGTCATGCTGTGTTACGTACTGCTTTCCGTTTTCGAATTCTGTCTCGGATAAAAGAAACGGATGTACACTTATCGAAAGGTCTTATGTCTGAAGCCGCTTCACTCAGCTGATTGAATTTGTTGGCGAACTCTAGCCAGGCGACTTCCGGGGTTCTTTATCCAGGAAAAACCAAGTTGTGGCACTGGCGCGCTCCGCTAATCGCTCGTGGCTTGTGATGGTTGGCACAGTCTCACCATCCTCATTCCGATGTTCCGCAAAGCAGGCGAAGTTGAAACCGATCACTGCGTGATCTCTGCGACCCAACGGACAGTCCAAAACCAACGCAGCAAGCAAATACCTCTCGTTTGTAAACACAAGATCCAGCACAGATGGCCGGTTACCTGTTCTGAACAGAGTGGGCAAACTGATGTAATTGTCAAAAGGAAAAATGGTTCCGAGAACTTGTAGGTCGGCTTTTAATTGTTCCTCGATCTTGGCAGGAGTTTCCACTCAATATAATTTGCAGTCACCCATGATAAGTACGTGAGTGTACTTTCACTCTGTACTCCATCTTAAAGCAGCGGCTAAGCGGCAGTCGGTTTCGAGTATAGAGTTAGGGGGCGGTGCATCAAGGCGATAAGGCAAGCGTCCCTGTCTTTTAATTGCAGGCGGCACCAAAGGGAGTCGGAGCACTGCTAGGCTGAATCCTCCATGGCTTCTCACTGTATCTAGCTTCGGTGATACAGAATCACTCCTCCTCTTTTTGTGAGCCTGTCTTTCCGGAACCGCGACATGCTCGGTAGCGAAACTTTAGCGACCGTTATTCCCATGTGTAACCACGTCTCCGTGATATCAATGATATCATATGACCCGAAAGCTTGGCTATCTTTCATTTCGGCCAGTTTATTAAGAAGACCTTGAGCATTCGTATACAGGCAGGCCAGCTTCTCGGTCTTTAGAAGCCCACAGAGAGGTGAAGCTCTCAAGTGTGGGAGAAAGCCGACCAATTGTAGGTCAGCAGTTACTCGCTTTTTGATGGGATAATGATACTTCGTCGGAAACTTGCTTCGGCCGAGTTGCGTCCTAGTCGTCATTTAGACCCAAGTCAGAGTCAATTAAATCAGTAGTCCAGTTACTCTTCTGTAAATTCGTTGGTATGTTTGCTGCTTCAGTTGCTTTAATGTTTGAGCTGTGCGAAACTTCCGCGACTTTTAACCGAAGTTCAGAAGGAAGCCGTTTCTTATTTCTTTGCTATCGATCCAAAACATCCTTTGCTTGTTGCTCTGACTAAATCACAAGTTTTAAGATTCCAGGGCTCTATCCTCTATAATTTGGTGAGAGCCGTATCCAGCTGAGCGATAGGGCCACAATATTATCCAAAGAACCATCACTGTTCTAAATGGTGCATTCCGGTCTCTTGAACATCGTTAGAAGGATGTTGTGGCACGACATGTATGAAGATGGTGTTTAGGCGGTCTTGCTTGCTGTGCCCCTCTTCGGTGTTTCCTTTTGGTTGTCGCGCGCTCCAAGGGACATCAGGATAGATACGTATCCCACATGATCCGTGTTTTAGCGCGCTTGCAGGGAGCAAAAGTTTTCTACCGCGGTGGAGGATTCTAGTGTTACTCGAATAAGTCTGGGTTCGCCATAGTGTGACGAGTTCGGTTGACGAGCAATTCGCAATAAGTTTATGGGCTTGGCTTTAACACTCATCAACAGGCATAATGAGTTCCATTGTTCTTGCTCGTCCGATAACTTATCCCGCAATATGATGGCGGTAGATTCAGAGACATTTAAGCATACATCAGTCCGGGTACTATTGTTAGATCCCTTTTTCATTGATCTACAAGGTATAGTACTCGTTTGTCCTAACCTACTGACAAGTGTAGATTGTTTACATTTTGTCCCTCTGTTCGCGTTAACTGTGTTTACAACAGAAGAAGCCCCAATGCGGCGGCCGCCCGGCGGACCTTGGCACCAAGCTCTGCATATGTAACTGATATAACAGGTGACAGTCTCTTACTCTGACAGTCCTGACTGGTCGCATAGTAAACGTGCTCTACTCTGTCACAATTCTCTCGCCTTCCTCTTCATCTAAAACAGTCATCATACACTCATTTGAATCGAAAGGTACATATCGATCTCGTCTGGGAGTGGAAGGTGTAGATCGACTCACTCCTGCCTCGTTTTTCCTTGTTCGAATCCCTTATCTAAGCACATAGATGGAGGAGCAGTTCACACACATTTATGGGCGAGAAATCACATTCTTATCACATTTTATGCGATTGCTTCGACTATTTTCACTTATCAAATACAGGTGCTTGTTATCTGAATTCCGCGTTGGTAGATGGTAGGTGAACAGCTCAGTTCTCGCGGAGGTCCCACCGAATCTTAACATACTCTTTGAAGGTTTAAACTAATCACTTACAATATTGATCAAGCTGCACTAGTTTTCAAAGATACTAAGGTAATTTTGGAATCTGTTTCACAATTGTTAACGGTATAAATCAGTTCGATGAAACCCTGGTAGAAAGCGTTTACGCTTGCTATCAATGATGGATTTGCATTGACCCTGAGTAGATTGCCCCCGGGGCTACGAATTCGTGAGCACACTGCTTCCTAGTCCTTCATGGCAACAAATGCCTGGGAACACAAAGCATCGGCACCATATTCATCCTGTTACCATGTGCGCTCCCTTTGTAATTTAAGACCAGGTATTAATTGAAGAATATATTAGGTTGACAGCCTACTTCCCACTGAGTAGTTTAATTTTGACATTCCGTGTGACATTAAAAGTCTTTTACATAATGTTATGAATCATTGGAAAGAGGGCTTTTTGTTCTATTTTACATTGATTTAAGTTATTTTAGTTTGTTTCCTTGTTCTGAGCATTACATTGGAATGTCACCTTGAGAAAATTGAACATTTTTATCACGTTCTTTTTGATTTTAATCAACTTTCTAAGAACACAAAAGCTGCTGACGACATTTGTGCTTTGTATGGAGAGGATGTCATGACTGAAAAGACCGCTGGTGGTTAATATGTCAAGTTCGAAAATGGAAACGTTGACCTCAAAGACGTTGTTGGTTCTAGCCATCCAGTGGAGTTTGATGATGAGTGAGAAAACCAAATTTTGTTGGTAACTTCACGTCAAACAACAAGTGAAATGACACATGCTATAGAGAAACATCTTCCCTAGATGAAAAGGTTCAGTAGTGCTGAGCACTGGTTCCACATGCTTTAAGTGCCAAGAACAAAAAGCAACGGGCCACAATCACCGCTGTTTGCTTGCTCGTCACTGCTTATCTCACGGACACAAGCAACAGTTTCTTTACCGATAGGTTAGGGAAGACGCCAATGAGATAACAATCACCAGCGTTTCTTTTGCTTATGGTACCCAGTCTATACGCAGCACAAATGTTTGTAGTAGCTTGTACGGCCTTAGAACCTTGATTAAATGCAAAACGTCGGTGTCCAAAATGTCTACTTTTCTCAACTTGATATTCCATTTTAATGATCTGCAAGTAACTATTAATTAACATGAATTAAATAGAACTAAGCAACAAAATAGCATTAAACATCTTCTTTCGAATGTTTTACAATATTATGCCAAGGATGTTTAATGACATTCGGAGTAGTAAAATTAAAAAAGTAGCGAAAAGTTTGTTGCCAACTCAATAGCTTGAATGTTGCCGTGTGCAAATTACCTTGTCACCTAAATCTCACTTTCTTTCTACTAAGCGGATGAACAAAAGTCAAATGGTATCCGACTGGCAGTGGTGAAATCGATCGTTTGGAGTAATGATGCATTTAATTGTACTGAATGCTTATGCTCGTAATTTGAAACAACAACTGTTGTATTGTCTACCCATGCTGAAGTCATCATATTATGTTCCGTTTAGCTCCGAAAACTCGCTCCAGAATTCTACGAAAATTGGCCTCATCACACTTCCTGGGTGAAAGTGTTGTACAATTTTGTGATGCGCCCAGATATGGGTCCGTTTGCACGTATTTGCCGAAAGAGGTCGGATGTCCAACAGTGTTCTGCATGCGGATCGAGCAAAAATTAGATTTGGCTACATGAACCTATATATCAAAATAAATCTGTGATCGTCAGCGATCGTTCGACTTTCAGGGGCTCAGTAAATGCACCGTGCAAGCAACCAGCTGAACATTTGGCTTTTTGATTCTTTGTCGTGATACATGTTGCAACATGTACGCTACCGTTCAACACGAACAAAATGAACATATTACCCAATATGTTGTTGTGACTTTGTAAAAGTCCTTGGTAATAGGATAAAAACAGATTGTTCCTACTAGTCTCATTTTGAATTTATTGCCTGGCTTTGTGATTTTTAATCTCCATTCGGTTTCTTTAAAAAAGTGCGGGGCGGATGATTTGGTTACGCCACTATAACCTTCAGTGGCTACGACGTTACTATTATCTAGATGTCCTTGTGCGCGTTTTATAATGTTTTTATCCTGTTGCATCATCAAATATTAACCGCACCATGATGGTGTTATTTTCACTGCTAATTAATTTGATGAACCTTTCACAGGATTAGTCATGGGCATAATCAATTTTGTGGTGCACAATTACGGTTTAGCACTAGAAATACTTAAACAAACAGTGTGACCATATTTGAATGATCTAATACAGACGTCGGCTAAAGAACTTTGCGATTTTTAACTAAGTATCCCGTAGATAACACAGTTTACCTCAGACAAGGTTTCGCTACAGCAGACCATAAGGCAACGTCTCTCGAAGAATTTAGTAAAAGTTTATTGCGACCACAAAACTAACATTACGATAATGAACAGATTATCACAGTGGCATAAGTAGGCTCTAAGGCTTAACTAGCTTTCTGGGCACGTTTATTGCATTCTGAGTTGTTTTAGGCTGATGCAGAAAGGCGGCTCTACAAAGTCATTTATCACCAATTGACCATCAAGTAAATTTTCGGTTGGTGAGGTATGCGAGACAATAAAAGAATACTAAAACTTCTACTTTCTGGGTCCCACTGCTACACATAACTATTAAGGAGTTAGCACAAACAGCCAAACTCTCAGCACTTTCTGGAAATCAACTAGAAGGAGCTTCGTATGTCAGACATACGAACACATACGAACTCTACCATTCAGGAAGTTTGGAATGAGTGAACTATATATATTTGTCAGCAAGGAAACGATTTTGTTGTGTCAATAGTTTTGAAGACCGACCAATAAAGGTTTGATTGATACTTGAGTCTCAAATGCAGAGCTACTAAGATACTTGAATATTGCTGAACCTTGCCTATACCAAGAGTTCATGAGTGAATATGAATATGCAGTCAGTCCAGAACCACCCCGAATATCAGAGACGTCGGGTTGTGAGACAAGTTTTCACTTCGCACATGCGGAGTGGTCACGTGGGTACAGCTAACAAGTGATCTTAGGAGAAAGTTAGTGGACAACCACTGGTGGTTAAGAACTGGCCGAATATTGCATTACGCACAACCATGGTAAGCGTAACGTAGCCGTCAGATATTTGGAACAAAAAGCAATATTTAACTCTTGCTCAATACCAGTAGCCTCAAGGTGTTCTAGAATTTAAGGTTTATCATTGTACGTGAGAACTGTGAATAATTAATAGGGTTGACCTAGTGACTAAGTTTAGACAAATGCCCCATATTTGCTGCGGCAAATTTGCTTTTAGGATCACAAGAACTACCCGCGGTTCATTTTACCCGTTTGTGAAAGCTGTTTGGAATATATTCGTTCATACACCATATACATTAGGATCAGTGTGTCCAAAATCACTGTCTCCTTAGTTGCATGTGGATTAGCGTAGTCAATGGGACATGCTGTGGTTCGATATTGACGTCCTCAATGCAAACTTCATATTACTGTCAGCACTGTGCCTTACACTTTCTCGGTGAATATCCAGCCTTGTCATTACTCAGGGAAAGGATAAGAGGAACAGCCTTATTATTATTATTATTGGTGTTTTAAATATGCAAATGAAATGCTGTAGGGGTGTATAAGAGAATAAGAAACTAGCAAGGTCCATACTGCTTATTGTAACTAGGTATGTATTGGGCATAGTGTATTATGAGGTTCTGGAAAATATAAGGCTGTTCAGAAATATCGGAGGATTGCTTATGTCAGCCATAAAATAATAAGCAAAATAATAAGTATATTACTTTTGATGAGAGAAACTATGTCTATAGCGGCACAGATCAAATTGTACGGAAGTGTCCATGCTCTTGCATGGGTAACATGCATTAGTGGAGTATTGGAGTACACGTTTCACGCATTAACATTCTGACGGATGGTTGAGGCCAAAGCCTAGTTTTGAAAACGTCCGTGTTTATATGTTTCTGGGCCCCTCTTAGAATAGCTCATCGAGGGGTTTTTCCCACGTCAATATAGAGATTATGGTAGTTAGATTAAAGTAATATGAAGCCAGAGTGAGCTAGATTGCTGAAAAAGATGCAAGGACAGGGTCGAAAAGTGTACAGACGGTTGGTCTCTCTGTTTACCTAGTAGTTATAGTTTCAAAACCCGTAGGATAATAAGTTCGGGAAAAAAGATTGAAAATAAGGATGAGGATCTGAAAGCAGACAAGGTTGGTCGTTTAGTACGTGCTGGTTGTAATTCACCTTAGTTTTGGCATGACCATTTAAGAGGCAATGGAAAAATGGAGCAATGACGTACTTCGGGAAAATATCAATGCTTGAAAGGTCACGTGGGATGTAAATTATTACGAAAATAAAATTGCACGCTAAAGTGAAAAGCGTTTGAGTGGACTCAATGTAGACTTGTTTAGAATAGCAGCGATGTCCGCGTATAAAAAGTATAAGTCCAGCGATTCATTGGTTGGGAGTTTGGTAAGACATCGTTTGATTGCTTTTTGTAGAACTGGCTAACTATTCATAAAATGAAATGGAAATGGAACAACGCGTCGCCAACTGGTTTTTGTAGCATCGTTTGCGCGGCAGTAGAGACGACATAATTAAGAAGGGCGTTCCAAGGCTGGCACACGTGGAAGGAAAAGAAATTTCTCTTGAATTCAAGCCGGCTATAGTGTACTTTTAGTTTCAGTGGATGACTTCTTGGGTTAAGATTGTGGGTCAATTCTAGCAGCGGAAGGCTAATTTGGTTTGGGTTCTTCAGAATCTGGTAAAGCATTATGAGATCTCCTCACAAAAGCCGATATCGACTGCTGCGCATTATTAGAGATTTCAGTCTAAACTGATAGGGCAAATGAAAGTGACCCCTAACCTTCTTGGTTGCCCTTCGTTGTGGAGTATTAAGAGTAATTAGATCCTGTTTTGCCAAGACTGCTACTCCTGGATAGCATATTCCTCGTGTGGTCGCACGTAGGCGGTAAGCATTTGGGGTTTGAGGTTCAAACCGACTGAAGGCTTTGCGAAGCCAGGCTGAAGTGTTGTTTGCCGATTCTCATCGCCTTATCTGCTTGTTTTAAACACTCGAGATCTTTGTGTACTCTTCTGCGAGACCTAATGAAAGGTGTGGTCTCCGAGCTCGTAAACATTCGCCGGCTGATGACGCCGACGGATCACATTATACTTAGCCATATTCAACGGAAGCAGACTTCTGTTGGAAGATTCATGAATGCAATCTAGAGCATGTTGGAGATCTTTATGTTCATTGTTACTAATCACCGGTCACATATTGACATCATCGGCGTAAAGTTGGAAAGTTGAGGAGATAATTGTTGACAGGTCGTTGATACATAATGGAATAAGCGCGGTCCCAGCACTGAGCCCAGTGGGAGACCACATTCCACCCCAATCGAGTTGGAGAATGATCCCCTAACACGCACTTGAAGCTTTCTTTAGTGAAGAATCTTACCAATCCAACCAAGAACAGGATCGCCAACTTTGTAGCTCTATAGCCTGCGCAGTTGGATGCAGTGATCCTGACGGTCGATGGCTTTGGAGAAGTCCAGATAGATGACGTTAACTCCGACCCTATCATCAGTCACTTACGTGCAACTACCTCGTGCAATAAGCAGTTCGGTGGTGCGTGACCAATTTTAACGGAAGCCGTGCTGCTCCAGTGCCAAGACGTTGCATTTTTCCAGGTAGTCCATTAGAGCCTCAGCGACGACCGTTTCCATTAGCTTCGCTAAAGCAGGGAAGTGAGTCATTGGGCAATCGTTTGGATTTGAACGACTAAGGTCTTTGAAAATGGGGTGATAATGCCACGCTTCCACATAGTGGGGACTTGTTGTTCATCAAAGCACCTTTGGAAGAACCGTGGCAGTGGTTCAGCTAACGTGTTTGTCGCGGCCCTCAGAGCTTCAGGGCGGATGTTGTCGGCTCCAGAAGAACTGTAATCGCGCAGTGAGAGTAACTTCTTTAGCACAACTGATAGATTGAAGAGTACATGTTTAAACAATGAAGTCGGTAATGTGCATGACCTTATGGGACAGGGAGAGGCTGCGAGTTCGAAAATTGGCGCGTACTGTAGCCTCAGGGCATTGGCTGCTTCTTCGATGCCTTGCATTTTACTGCGTGTTTTGCAAAGTGAAGGGATGCCATGCTTTACATTGCAAAGATTGTTGGCAGTCTATACCAGTTTGGTGTTTGCCAGGAATATTTTGGCTAGGCAGTTGATAAGTTATTTTGCCCACACGGACAAATGCAGTGCAATGCATGCGAGTGGTCAGGCAGTTGCGCCAATTCTCTGAGTCGAGGCACGTCTTGATGCATCCCTTATCGTCATTCATTTTCGAGTCCTGCTCCTTAGAATTAAAAACATTTTTGTGGGGCGAAGGGGGTTTGTCTCTGATATTCTGATGACGCTGTCGCTGAGTCTTTCAAAAATCTGTCCAAATATTGGCAAAGGGACTGTTGTTTGCGAGTATCTAAGCAGATGCATTGACGAGTTCTTTCAATACATGGTAACGTGTGACTGTGTGAGATATTTCCGAGTGTTTACATGGATATTCTGTACAATACATGGTTGAAGATTATCACTACTTGGTCACTGAGACCTAATGGATTTTCCTTCAATAATTTGTCAACCATGAGCTCTTCATTCGTGAGCACACTGTCCAATA